CATAGCCTGCTGACCCGCTGGCTCGGCCACGTTGGCCTGACCAACTCCCTCATGCATTGCCGGAACGTCATCCGGTAAAGGTACCTCCTGCCTCCCATGCCTGCCACGCCTACCACGCCCTCGTCCTGACATCCTAATAAAGGTAACCAAGACTATTAGCACATTCACAAATGTGCCGAAGCTATAACACTCGCGTCCTAATGCATGGACAACTGTAATTCACTCCACGTAAGCACATAAACACTTAAGCACTTACGAATTTCATTTCCGGATAATGATAGTCCCGAGTCGTTACTAGAGTTCCGGTTAGAAACAGTATTGATCAAGTGCTTTTCCAACAAGACTCCCAGAAACCCAAGGATCCAATCAACATCCTAGAAACTACATTCCATACCCACATAGTCACATAAACATGTTATCAATCAAACACATAGCATATGACACTACATCTAAGTCTCTATCAAGCGAGACAAACCCATTGTGATCCTAATCACTTCCCACGTACCCAAAGTATTCGAACCCGGTACGCTCTGATACCAAGTTGTAACGCCCTCAAAAAAATACATAAAACCCATCACTTTAAACATGCAATGACATAAAAAAAACTAACCATTTCTATTCATCAGAGTGATTCTTACAACCGTATTACATGTTAACAACAAAAGCAAATGCCCTAAGGGCTTACAGCTTTCCAAGTTAACACTTGGTTACAAAAAAAAAGAGTGCTAACTAAAAACATATTAAGCCCTTGGCTTGAATTTACATGTAATACATCAAAATAAACAAAAAAAAAAAAGAGTCTTCAACTCTCATCATCATCCAAGCTATGTCATTGGAGGTGGCATACTACCTGTACCTGAAAATAATGTCCCATAAAGGGTGAGCCAACGCCTAGTAGAGATATGCTAAACACAGTATGAGCAATAACTAAGACATTAGCAATTGATAAATGTTCAATTTCCATAAATCAATTCATAACCCATTTCCATTTGATTTCAGTTTCCATTTCTTATCAATTTCACGATTTACATCAACGGCTCAGAACCTGGCCAACCACTTATATGAGACAATGACTCATATTAAACACTTCCCATTTTACATTAGATAAACATACAAGCTGTATCCACATTTCAACAGATATGCATAATAGCTATATCAACATTTCTAATGATAAGCATATGAGCTGTATCAACACTTCCAAAGATAAGCATATGAGCTATATCAACACAATATCTGACAAGCATATGAGCTGTATCAGTGGAGTCCATCCCCTATCTCTTCCCAAACAACATGCGGTTTAGAGGTCCATCCCCTATCTTCCCCTAAACCATGGAGTACATCCCCTATCTCCTCCCCCACACAGCGTATATACACAAAGGTCATATACACAATTAATCAATACATAACGTTAATGTATTCTATCAACCGTCATACTCTATGACATGTCTAATTGATTAGTTTTAGTTTGCCTAATCATCATGCATTGTCTACAACAATCAAAACTACCCTCCACCGGTAGCCCAAGCAATTATTTCTAAACAGATAATAAAAGCTCCAACAGATAAAATATCAATGTTTTCAAAAGTGAGCGATTAACAAATCTAACTCCACTATTCAACCATATAATGAGGCAATTTCATTAATTCCAACTCAATTCCATATAACCACCATTTTCTCAAATTAATCATATTGACCCAATGGTCTATATTTCAACAACCAACAACAATAACACCATTTTGAAACCCCAAATATATATTATGAGCCCAAAATCACAAAACCCTCTTTAACACATTTTGAAACCCTAAGTCCCAAAATCAACCAATTAAACAATAAGCTCAAAATCTAGGTTAAAACTCATAAGAATTAGTAGGAATCCCTATCTCAAAAGTTGACACCCAACGAAGAAGATGATAAAAAACGAAGTTGCTCCAAATCACAAGTTTCTCGGATCAAAAGATAGCCATCGACGATCAACAACTTTTTGTAAAGGCCAAAGGTGAGGAAACAACTCCAACTAGATCAATACCTAGAGAGAAGGCAAGGTTCTAGAGAGAGGAGCTCTCAAATGGCGTTTTGGAAAAGTAAGAGAGAGAATGTGAATGTAAAAAGTGATTTTAAAATGCCCAGCTGTCAACTGATATACGATATTCCCGCTTGAGCGGAGAACACAATGCTCGAGCGTCAACAACAAAAAACTAGGTCCGCTCGAGCTCAACAAAGCCCGCTCAAGCGCCAAGACACAAGAATAAAGCACGTCCGCTCGAGCGCGAAAACCAACCCGCTCGAGCGTAGATTTCCCCCTCCCAGAACTTACACCAAAAAGTACTACCCGCTCGAGCACCAGAGTAACCGCTCGAGCGTAAAGAAACCCGCTCGAGCGTAAAAATCACACCTGCAGAAGTTTTGCAGGGACACGAAAAACTAGGAGCGTGCAAGCTCCGCTCGAGCGCAAGAAGACCCGCTCGAGCGGACCTCCTAAAAACTGGGCAACAATGAATTAAAACCAAAGCCTAACCAACCTGTAACAACTCTGCCCAATATATCCTAAAACTCAATCAAGTGGAATTGAAGGATGACAACAAGGTATACCACCACCAACATTACGGAACCGAGTCCGGAATACAACAGAACAGTAAAGGGACAACCGGGATCGCTATACATATGCTTATCTATTGAAGTGCAGATACAACTAATATGCTTATTTGTTGATGTATTGACACAGCTTGTATGGTTATTTGTTGATGTATTGATATAGCTGGTATGCTTATCTATTGCGAAAATGTAAATGCTTAATATGAGTGTTTGTCTCATATAGGGTGTTTGACCCGGCTCTGAGTCATAATTATGATTGAGAATTGGTTAAGAAACGGAAAGTGAAGGTAACATGGACATGATTGTTGTTAAACTGTAACACAGTATAAATTGGAATATAAGTGCGGACCACCCATTGAACACTATTATCTTAGTCATTGTTTATAGTTGGTTTAGTGTATTTCTACTGGGCTGTGGCTCACCCTGTATGGGACACTATTTTCAGGTACAAGAAGCATGCCACTTCCAAGGGCGTAGTTTGGGAAGCAAGAGGCAGACAGACTGCTTTTGTTGTTTTGCTTTCTTTGGTGTATTATATGTAAATTCAAGCCAAGGGCTTAAGATGTATTAAGTTAGTATTCTTCTCTTTTTGTGACCAAGTGTTAACTTGGAAAGCTGTAAGCCCGTAGGTCATTTGTTTGTTAGTAGCTTGTAATATTTCTGTAAGAGCTACTCTGATAAATCAAAAGATATTTATTTATCGTACATCATGGCATGTCTAAAATAATGGGTTTTATGTATTATTTTGAGGGCGTGACAGGTGTTGCCATTTGCAGGGCATGTTTCACATCGTAGTCCGGTGTCACACTGATTGTCGGAGGAGCAGGTTTCGCCGATCTGTTTATTTGTTGGTGAAATGAAAATAAAATTAGTATTTTAAGATGTGTTGATTTATTTGAAGAAAGCATGAAAATAGGGATGTAAAAGAATGAGCCTGGAGACTAAAACAATAGCCGAATAATAGACCGACTGTAATCAAATGGCAAAGAAATGAATTCTCTGCAATTTATAGAGAGGGGGGGTTGTTTAGTGTTTTACATTAACAGAGAGAGAGAGAGAATTGAAAGAACTGATATAAAAATAGAAAATGTTTGGTGGCTCGAATTTTTGTGATTCGAATGGCTCAAATGTGTTAAAACGACGTTGTTTGACACTTAAAACGATGTCGTTTGGATGTTTCGAGTTATGATTTTTCGGGCCACCTAACATTATTACAAGTTTAAAAAATTCGTTAATTTTATTGGAGATATCCATCAAAACTTAATTAATTTAACAAAAATTACAACCATATACTAAAATATGAATCTCATAAATAAATAATCTTAATCTTATATTAGCATCCGCCTAATCTTTGGTGGTGTTTGTCAAGTGGGTTGGGGCTAAAATAGCCACAAAAGACAAAACAGGCTATTTTAGCCACAACAAACAAAACATCACATCCAACCCATAATCATTACACTCTTCTCTCACAAAAAAAAGCCAAAAAGTCAAAAAGTCAAAAAGTCCTTCCCAAACCAAGCTTTTTAGCCCAGGCTAAAATAGCCAAAAAAACCAAAAAGCCAAAAAACCAACCCACTTCCCAAACGGAGGCTGAAGCATAAAAAAAATAAGTCGCATACCCCCGGAATTTCATTTTAAAAAAATCTATAATAAAATAAAATCAGACCATAAGTAGCATGCCCGGCTCCCAAAATACAAGGAGACTAAACAGGAAAAATATATTTTGTCAAGTATTCATTTTGATATTTAAAACAAAAAATTAGATAAAAGGGAGGAGTGAAACTTGAACTTAATATTTGATATAAATAAAAATAAAAAAAACCTCTTAGCTCTGCTTATACTTTTTTGTATTGCACACGTATACATTAAATTGAACAATGATCCTGTTTTGGCAAGAGGTTTTTTGACCTTTTTTTTATTAAAATTTACAAAAAGACAAAATAGACTAAAATTGTTAATAAAACAAAATGTGACATCAAATTCATAATTATTTTATTTTTTTTTCTCAGAAACATCACATTCAATTATAAAAATAAAAATAAAAAAACAGTGAAATGATTGTCCTAATGGTGTGTTTGGTTGGAGGATTTGAGGAGAGATTTGGAAAGGGAAAGGGAAAAGATGTGTGAAACTAGGTGAAATTTAGGCATGTTTTATTTATATTTCACATACCTTTTTCATTTCCCTTTCCAAATTCCTCCTCAAATCACTCAACCAAACACAACATAAATGAATTGAACTGGGAATTGTTTTGCAGAGTATTCCGGCTCTAAATCTTGGTGGGCCTAATAGTAGAGACGGCCCACAATAGCCCACAATCCCCATGAAAAGGCCCAATCCAAATAAGTGGAAGCAGAGATAAGGTTACCAACCAAAAAATGGATAAGACGATCACTCGAAACTAAACAACTTTTAACGGCTAAGAAACAAACCTACCTCTCTCTCTCTCTCTCTCTCTCTGTGCTTGGAGATCGAATTTCGTGGCTCACCAATCGACCATCACTACCACTGGATGGATGCTAATTCGTCCTACTAGTCCATCGTCAATGGCCACCGCGACACGTGTCCCACTGGTGCCTTCGAGCTCAAGCCTCCTCCCCCTGCGTCAATGTCATGAACACTTTTTGGTTAATTGCTTCGTTACTACTACAACTCTTCCAGAAGCTTCCACTCTCTCCTATTTATCCTCATTTCCTCAGAATTTAAGGATTGCAAAAAAGGGTTTTAGGAGACTCTCAGTGGTTAATAAGTCGGCGATGGTGGATTTGAACCCAAGCACAGTCCTTGTTACCGGTGCTGCCGGTAGAACTGGTACCCATTTTACTTCTACTCTTCTTCATTGTTGTCTTAATCTCTATAACATTTTTTTAAGTATTAAAAATGGAAGTGTATTGGGGGTTTGTTTAGATGATATATGTATTTTGGAGGCAAATCGTGTTTTTGATCAATTGAGACTGTGTGTTACTTGGGTGTGGACATTGCTTGCAGTTCCATTGTTTGCAGATTGGATAATGCTAATGAAAGCCATGTTTGGATATGGATTTGGTGAGAGGGAAAAAGGGGGTTGGAAAAGTGAATCAATTAAAATCTTTTTTTTTTTTTCATTTTATCCTTTCCTTTTTCCTTTTTCTCCACAAATTTATGATCCGAACACTATATTAAAGTTTTATATTCATGGAAGAACTAAGAGGTTTTAGTAATGTCAGAATTTTTTTATTTACCCAAAATTTCCACGCAGAGCTATCGTCTGTAACTAACATATTCAAAACAAAAAATTTATTTTAACCGCACACCTACACTGCTAGTATATGTTAAATGTAAGTGTTAGAGTGTGTATGTATATACATGTATTGTGTGTTCTGATTTCAATTCATGTGTCCAATTGAATATGATTGTACAAATTAATAAACGAAACTTGATTTAGTGGGTAAAAAAATTATTTTAAAATTTGAACAACTAAAACCATCTACCAAGCACTTATTTTTTTCTTATTATTTTGAACAAGCTGCACACCTCAACCAATTTGATGGGCGTCTGATTGTACGGTTCAAATTTTGAAATGATATTTTTAATTATCAAATTAAGCTCGTTATTGATTTCTATAATTATCTTCAATTGAATTACATGAACTAAAATAAGAACGGACTAAATAGATGAAAAAATATATTTTTTTTTAAAAAAATGTGATAGTTTAGGAAATAAAAGTGAAATTAAGGTGGAAGTGTGTTGGGGGTTTGTTTAGATGATGTGTATTTTGGAGGCAAATCGTTTTTTTTTATCAATTGAGACTGTGTGTGTTACTTGGGTGTGGACATTGCTTGCAGTTCCATTGTTTGCAGATTGGATAATGCTAATGAAAGCCATGTTTGGCTATGGATTTGGTGAGAGGGAAAAAGGGGGTTGGAAAAGTGAATCAATTAAAATCTAATTTTTTTTTCATTTTATCCTTTTCTTTTTCCTTTTTCTCCACAAATTTATGATCCGAACACTATATTAAAGTTTTATATTCATGGAAGAACTAAGAGGTTTTACAGTGTTGTAGTCAAGTGAATGTTTTCTAATATTCTGATATTGAATACTAGAACTACCCATGGACCGATGTGGTGCTTGAATAAGTGTTGCATTTTTTTAGAATCTATTAGACTATTACCTGATTGTTAAATACTTCAATATTGAAATGTCACATTGTTAAGTTTACATATTGTTAATAAATTTATTTAAAAGAGTTTATATTGTCTCTATGAGAACTGCACACCACTCTCCTTTTGACAGTGAAAATCGAGCTAAAGCTACCCTGCCATTGGTTCTCTCTGTTACCAAGAACTGAATTTCTTTTCCTTCTTCCTGATTTGGTTCTGTGTTGCTTGATTTTTTCACAGGACAAATTGTTTATAGGAAGTTGAAGGAGAGGGCGGATCAATATGGTGCAAGAGGTTTGGTCAGAACGGTGGAGAGCAAGGAGAAAATTGGAGGTGCAGATGATGTTTTTGTCGGGGATATAAGGGATGCCGACAGCTTGGTTCCTGCTATTCAAGGCATTGATGCTCTTATAATTCTCACGAGTGCAGTTCCAAAAATGAAGCCCGGGTTTGATCCTAGTAAAGGTGGAAGGCCAGAGTTTTATTTTGAAAATGGAGCATTTCCTGAACAGGTAACTACTTTGTTTTTTTAGTATCCTGAGCAACTCGATAAGGTCATGACCTAGTACAATGGTTAGTGTTATCCTCCGTAAAGCTGCCTACCTACCACCTCTCCCAGACCCGTGCGCTGGGAGAGGTTGGTGGCTAGCAAGGAAAGAATGCTGTAATATGTTTAGCCAACAACCCAACATATGTTCAGTTGGTGAGCATGGTGAATAGTTGGCTTTTGCACAACAAACAATTTACATGTGACCACAATATAGTCAACAAAGCTGCCCTTTAAGATCACTAAAAGAAATCCAACAATGAAAATGAACCAGGATCAACCACTATATATGTTCTATTTGATCTCCGTGTCAGTACCAACAAAATTAGATAAACCAAATAAACTTACCAATCCTAAGAAAATTGAACAACCAGAAAATTTTCTAATCGGTCGCTTCTTCTTCAATCACCACAGCCTACTATACTTGATCACAACCAACTAAAATTGGGGACTAACGTTCAGATTTTTCTGTTTTTCTTCATGCTGAATAAATATGTTTGTGTTAGGTTGACTGGATTGGGCAGAAGAATCAAATAGATGCTGGTGGGTATTTCATTTTTGTATTTTTTACACCATTTCAGTTCAAATAAATTTCTGAGGTTTGTTTTTGCACGTGTTGGGCTGAATCATGTGATCTATATGTACAGCTAAATCTGCAGGAGTGAAGCAAGTCGTGCTTGTTGGGTCAATGGGAGGAACACAGCCTGACAATCCATTAAACAACTTAGGAAATGGAAATATTTTGGTCTGTACCTTCTCTATTGTCCTTATAAAGTTTTTCTTTTTCTTTTTCTTTTTGCATTTTTTGTTTCAGTTTCATCGAATCATCAATTTCTCCTTACATATATATATATAAATATATATTTTCGGTTCTCCGTTATCTAAAAAAAGAATGGATTTGGTTCCTTTGTGGTGCATTCCCATACTCGCTTAGGTTTTCTTATATGTTGGATTTCAACAATAAGATTACTGTTTACTAAGTTTTTAATTCTCTTCTGGTAATTTTTCTAGCAAAAATGATTTTTAAAATAAAATGAATCAATGGTCCTCATGCATAGTATCAAAACTTCCATCTTGATGAGCAAGTATTAGTCTCCAAACTTATATGAGGATGATGAAAAGCCCATTGCAACTCTCTAGACATTTGTAACCTCATATGTATAAAATGCTTCTATTTTTTTAACTTTGAATCTTCCTTTTTTCATTCTTTGTTGCTTTTTCACTTTGAAGCTGTTTCCAATAAAATAGTTTTTGCCATGTTACAGGTTTGGAAGAGAAAGGCTGAACAGTATCTGGCTGACTCAGGACTCCCGTACACAATTATAAGGTATATGCCCATCTCTTTTCACTTTTATCTTTGTCATAACTGAGAATTTTTTGTTCGTGCATCCAACCCTTCCCAAATCCTGCAATGGCAGAAGTCTCGTATATTAGGCTGCCCTTTAAACTTGACACAAAAATAGTAGTAAGCTACTTTTTGGTGGCATTCACATAGCATCTTAAATCTTAAAATTCTTAAAATGTTAAGCTTAAGATGGAGATTCTGAAGTTATGCTATCTGGAATATCTATGAGAATATATACTCAATCTTGACAATTCTCAAGTAATGAAACTTTAACACTCATTAATCTTCTCAAACACAAACACTACAATTAAAATTTTAAATGAATCAATGAGTTTCCATTATTAAATATTGATATTGCAACTGATATCAACAATGAATAGTTTTTTAACCCAATTCACTTCCTTTTTATTGTATACATTATTGTTCTTGTACAGGGCTGGAGGCTTGCAAGACAAAGAAGGCGGTGTTCGGGAATTACTTGTTGGAAAGGATGATGAGCTTCTCCAGACAGAAACAAGGACTATCGCTAGGGCTGATGTTGCAGAAGTCTGCATTCAGGTATTCATTATAAGTGGTTGTGCTTGAAGAAAGAAATATACGCCTCATTCTTTCTTCGCTGCACATCCTGGAAACTGCATTTTCTCTTCTTCCTTTCTTTTTTTTTTTTTTTTTGGGTACATATTATTTTTACTCTGTACTATAATATATTTCCTATTGTGAACAGGCACTACAATTTGAGGAGGCTAAATTCAAGGCACTTGACCTGGCATCAAAGCCTGAGGGAACTGGCACGCCGACAAAGGATTTCAAGGCTCTGTTTTCAAAGATCACTACTCGTTTTTGATATGAAACGGCCTTAGCTATTTGTTTGGGACTATAGTATCCATCTTCAGGGTTAATTATTGAGAATTATGTTAACCAATTCTGCATTGTGACTCCAGGTTGTGATGTTCGAAAAAAAAAAAATAGAGTAGAACAAGAATTTTAGCTGGTTGTGTATGGGTTTTGTATTTTGTTATGTAAGATTGTATTTTGTTATGTAAGAGTCTCAACATTGTTAGCCATGACAAAGATGTCTTTTACCAAGAAGAATTGCACCCTAATATGTCGGTAGTTGTATTTGTGGTGATCATGGTGGGGTGTTAGAGGTGATAGCATGGTTGCATTGACAAGAATTTAGTTCAAAAAAAGTTTCACCTTTTATGTTTTTTTTTTCCAAATAAACTTGTTTTTTTGTTGGTGTAGCTTGCTTTTCGTGCTCCTTTCAGATACGACTAGCCCTACAGTTCGGACTTCCGTAATTCTGAATCTGATTTCACAAGTGCAATGTGAAACAGTGAAAAACAAAAAGAGTCCAAATCCAGCAATTCTTTTGGAAAATCGATTTTGAATCAAATGTCAAAAATGGACTGCTTTTCTAGATTACAGAGCTGTCACCTAAATATTTTTGGAAAATTTAAGAAACCCATGACTCATGCCAAATGCCACTTATCCACCATCACCAAAGTGTCTTGACTCGAGAACTTAGGTATGAGAGGGGAAGGTCATGAATTGAGCACCACACTCGCCCGATCAAAGATCTGTCTCTACTAATCATGATGTGATTTTTATTTACATTATATGGTCTTGTTCTGATTTATTAGACTAACATTACTATGTGTTGCACGCAAGTATAGACTATTTTGCAAAAGTTAGAACATTTGATTTCATGTTTTGTTTGAAAAAAAAAAGTGTTTTGAATATGCGTCACCTGAAAAAGTGAGTTTGTATGGACATTAATCATTTTATCTCAATTTAAGCAATTAGCTTTCATTCACATGCATTTAAACAGATATATCACTTAAGCACTTAGCCTCGCAGAATATGCTCAATATGGCAACACAAACATTCAATGCAAGATGCTAAAACAATAAACGCTCACCTAGTACTCCAAGGCAACCCAAACAAAGCAACATAATTAGAAAACATGCATGCTCCTAACTTATGCAAAATGACTAATGTGACACATACAATCATGCAAGAAAATAGGCTCGGCTACTAGCATGATATATGATTCCATTTAAGACATGTGATAAATCACATATTTATTTAAGAGGGTTGAATGCGACATTGATTTAGTATGATGAGCCGAACCGAACCGAACCGAAATGCATGTGACGAGTGTATGCAAACATGGGAATGCTAAATAAATATGATGCTCTATGCGATCATCATAAGCGGGTAAATAAAAGGGAGAAAGAAATGGGAGTTGGAAGACATACATTATTATTATATATTTTCTTTCACGCAAAAGGGTCCGAATAAATGTCCGAGTGTCTAAATTAAACTAATTATTACAAATTCGAATGAAAGAATTATGTAACTAACTAGCTAAGGTAAACAACTATTGACTAGATATCTAAAATATCAACCAGCTATGTAAGTTATTATAACAAGGCATTATATCAGTAATAATCGCAACAAGGATATTACGACAATTACAACAATTCTAATGAGAATAGTAATCTAAACAACCATGAGACACAATAATCGCATGCATAGTGCTCAGAAGCTGCTCAGTCTGCCCAAACTGCTCTGCCTCACCTTTAGCCACTGCCCTCTGTTTCTGCCAACAGTCCCTGTTTTACCAAACATTGGAAGCCAACCGGCTCCAAATGAGATCCGGTCAGGCCAAAACAGTACCGGTCGGCACCAAATTTTATGCCAAAAAGTGTTTTGTGCTCTGAGGTGAGAATAGTGCAGACAGAGCCTTTCTAAGCTCTGTTTGTCCCTTCTGCCCCTCTCTGTCATAGGAAACTCAAGAGAAGGACAAATTCCCATTCGAAACCATCAATTAGCACAAGTTAATGGCTTGATGATCCCGAGCATGTTTGGACAAAATTGATAAATGTGATGAAAAAAACACCCTTTCCTCCTATTATGAAGGCTCAAAGAGGGAAATAGACACGCTCTAAGTCTTATCAACGTATCATGAATTAATACATGATAAATCTCAGAACGATGGATTTGGCATAACGTCCAACCGAATCCAACCAACTCTAAGCATTTCTTTATGTCGGTTTAGTTCATTTTAAGTTGATTTCATTAGTCTTTACCATTCTTTAATCAATTTGTCCAAAATGATGTTTAAGTCCACTAAATAAGAAGAAACGTCAAACGAGAAGTGATTCTTGGCATAAAAGAGAGCTTATGCCTTGACGATGAACTTCTGTAGAGATTAAGCCATTGAGCATAGGTCTCTATCCCATGCCTTGAATTACCGTTGATTGGTTGAAGTAACTCTCAAAACAAAAAAAAAACAAAAAAGAAAAGAAATGAGGGATGTGGCAGAAATGACTTATGCAAAATTAATTATTTAAAATGAGACACTTGACATGAAAATTAAACAAAGAAAAAAAAAACTATCAAAGCATGGATGACACAACACATCTAGCTAGATATGAAGATTTGCAACACGACCAGCTAGATATTCAAAGCATACCTTAATTAAATAAATTACAACAGCCCTAAAATAGCCCCTGATATGCTAAAAACAGTGGCTAAAAATTATGTTAAAGAGCATAAAAAATGTAGGAAAGAATAAGGCAAAGCAAGGCTAGTGAACAAAAGCAAGGAGAGGTGGCTACCCTCTCCATTTTTGAGACCCCAAACCATGTTTTTTAGCCTTTATTAAACTCTGAAAATCAATTTAAAGAAAGCAAAGAAAAGAGGGTAGAACAAGGGTGTGAGCTATGAAGTAGAGAGCAAGAAAGGGTGTTAACCCTTTCTACCCTTTGGTAGCCCTTCAAACCCAAGTTCCAACACTTGAAATAGGATCAAACAATACAAAAACACAAGAAATAAACAAAGAAAAATAGAAATGAAAGCAATACAAAGGTGGTGAGGTTATACCTCTTGAAGAAGGTAAGCTCTTGTTTGTGAACCAAACTTGGTCCAAGCACACTCTCAAGCTTGAATTGTGACTTACAAAGCTCAAACAAGGTTCTAAGTTCTTGTTCTAAGGTTGGCTATGGTGTATGGATATAGTATAAGGATGATCAAATATCTCAAGGGTAGCTTGCACAAGAAGAAGGAGCTCTCAAGAGTTATTTAGCTTTTTTGAAATTTTTCCAACCTCTAACACTGAGATACATATTCGTATTTATAGAATTTGAGCAACATAGGTCATAAATATCTTTAAAAATGGACAGCTGGCTCATTCCCGCCCAAAACAGTGTTTCTCGCTATCAAGAGCCGGCTGGCTCCCAATAGCTACGGCCGGCTCCTAATGTAGTACGGACAGCTCCCAATATGTTCCCCTGTTCCACTATTTTAAACTCAATATAGGGTGACACAATGTTCAAAAATGAATTTCAGGGGTAAACACAGTATAAATATGAAAGGTTTAGGATTGGTTTCGGAGCGCAAGCTTTCGTTCCTTCGTTGAGACTTCGAATCACACTTAACACAACTTCATCATCGATTGCCCAGGACAAAGCGTCCAAGTCTTACGGGCAGTCAAAAATGAGGTGTCTACAGTTGCCCCTCTTTGACAGAGCTCAAAGTTATAGAACGATGTGAATAAATGTCAAGGCCCAAAGACGACCCATTTGACAAGACGGTAAGACTTGGGCAAGAAAACAAATCAAAATACAAATGCCAAAGGTTGAACCCGAAGGTTGCCTACGTATCCATTTGCAAGGAATCAAACCTGCGTAGTTCAAGGGCAAGGTACACAATGATATGCAGAAAATAACTTATGATCATGCAATGAAACAATGCAATAAAACACAAATGTGAATAACAAGTGACAAAGCAATGCTACAAACAAAAATAGGTATGCAACGTCTGAACGAAAGTAGAACAACTCAAGCCGCGTCTCACACGGAGCGAGGTAAGTAAACAAATACGGGGACAAAGAAAATGCGAACCAAACCATGTCCTGTGTAGGAAAGATGCCAGTCTACCTACGTCCCACACAGGGAAGGCGAAGGGCGATGTAAACACCGGGCGCACCCAAGGTTTAACCGAAGAACTTGAGATCCTAACGTATCTCATGCGAAAGAAGGAAATGCAGCATGAATAGACAGGCAAACCTGTTATTTTTAACCAAGAAAAACAATAATCCCAACGCGTCTCACGCGAAATGAGGGAATGTGGTGTGAACAAATAAGCGCACCTGCTATTTTTAACCGAGTTGGACAATCTGAATGCGTCCCACCTGAAAGGAGGAAGACAATCCTAATGTGTCGCACGCGAGAAGAGGAGAGGTTGGTGTGAACAAATAGGCCCATCTGCTGTTTTTAACCGAGAAAAACAATTCTAACGTGTCTCACGCGAGAGGAGGAGAACAATCCTAACGTGTCGCACATGAAAGGAAAAGAGATTGATGTGAACATTGGGCACACCCAATGCTTTTAACCGAGAAAAACAATCCTAACGCGTCTCACTAGAGAGGAGAAGAATAATCCTAACGAGTCGCACTCGAAAGGATGAAGGATTGATGTGAACACCGGGGCACACTCGATATTTTTAACTAAGAAGAAAAATCCTAATGTGTCGCACGCAAGAGGAGGAGAACAATCCGAACGCATCAGTACGCGAAAGGAGGAGGGATTGGTGTGAACAAACAGTCACACCTGATTTTTTAACCAAGAAAAACAATCCTAACGCGTCGCACACGAGAGGAGGAGGTGTCAATTCGACGAAAAAACAAACAACTTCAGAATAGAGCGAGATAATCTCATCCCTAGGAAGGCCTCGGAAAACGAAGCCATGAACTCCACAGAGAAAACAGTACAAAGCATAAATTCTCAATTCAAAAAGAAACACACAATCCAAAACGGGGCTCGACTTAGCAAATTTAAGAGCAAATTTGCCAATTGTGAAAATAGACTTGGCTTGAATAATGGAACACATCATAAATTCTCAAAACAACAAGATGATGGACCAAAGCATGAATTGAGGAAGCGAGTAGGGAAATAATTATGACTTCGGAACAACTTTAAACAAAACAAATTACAAGCTCAAACTAATTAATAAAATACCAACTAATAGAATTTGACTTAAACAAGTTCAAATTTAAACACCTATGAATTAATCAATTTTAAACCGAGCAAAATACAAAACTTTTCGTCTTCTT